ATGTCGCTCCTGAGGTGCTGAACGTCGTGCCTGCGCTCATTTCCCAAGTTCCAAGCAGAGCTGTTGACATGAAGCCTCAAGAATTGTCCAACTCTTTGTGGGCATTAGCACATTTGAAGGATGTCGCTCCTGATGTGCTGAAGGTCGTACCAGCACTCATTGCCCAAGTTCCAAGCAGAGCTGTTGACATGAAGCCTCAAGAATTGTCGAACTCTTTGTGGGCATCAGCACATTTGAAGGATGTGGCTCCGGATGTGCTGAAGGTCGTTCCAGCACTCATTGCCCAAATTCCAAGCAGAGCTGTAGACATGATTCCTCAACACTTGTCCAACTCTTTGTGGGCAGCAGCGCGCTTGAAGGATGTTGCCCCTGATGTGCTGAAGATAGTGCCAGCACTCATTGCTAAACTGCCAAGTAAAGCTGGCCAAATGACAGGAATTGAGTTGTCCCAATTTAGGTGGGCAGCCGCAGAGTTAAAGGATGTAGCACCCGAAGTGCTGAAGATGGAGGCTTCCATCCAAGCAAGGTCGCAACACAAGTCAGACCCCGGCCATGCGGATTCTCAATGAATTTGGACCTGTTCGGGCCGGCATAGGATTCTACTGATATTCTCGGTGTATGACTATGACTATGACTCTTCAAGTGCTTAGTGTCAGCGCTTAGTGCCAGCGCTTAGTGTCAGCTTTGTTAACCTTGAGTTCCCAAATGCCAGATAAGGTGCGTGAACCACCTATAGCTTTCCAGCACCATCTTGGGAAGAGTGCTCGGTGGCCAAATTGAAGCACCACGGAGATCCGAGTGCAGGAGCAGGTGCTGGATTGCTTGGAAAAAGAGCAGCTCGGCGGACCTGCACTCATTCTCACAGCTGCCCCTATCCTCACATTGAAGTATTCTTGGAATGAATCGCACACCCGTTTGTCCCCCAAACTAGGTTGACACCCCCAGATGTTTCAACATGGTTTTCGACGTTGAAGTTGTATCCAGCGATATGTTTATCCTCTACTGCTCAAGTTCAAGACCTTTGACAACTGATAGGCCACCTACTTGCGCGGAGAGAGAGAGAGAGAGAGAGAGAAGATGCCACTATATATAGAACAGACATGGTGCCCTCCAGAACATCGTTTTCAAGTCTTTTCTGCTCCACAAACTGAGTGTACCACTTCAATGTGGGGCTTGCATCTAGGGCCTGGAGCAACAACTTGAGGCACTGTTTTGTCAGTACACAAGCAATCATAATTTTTGAACAAGGCCTGCAACTGAACCATCATCATCCACTGGGCCCAGGTAGACTCGGATAGACCCAATCCAAGAGTGTTCTTTTGTGCTGAAGCCCGGCAGAGTGCCACGCTTCTCCTCCAAGTCCTCGCCAGGGTGCCATGAAGGCTCCGCCCGGACGCCCAGGTCCTTGGCGAGTCCAGTAGTTTGGGGCGTACCCTGTTTTTTCCCCCGCCAGAGCGGGCGGGGGAGGTCCTCAAGTTCTTGTGTTTCACTGTTTTTTTTCATATTAAACCTGTCAGGGTGTTTCATTATCGCTCTTGGCTTTACTCCATCTCCATCTCCATCCCATTCTATCACCCATCAGATTTTTCCCAACAGTCAGAAGCTGTAATGCACGACATAGCACACCCTCACAGCACTCGGTTGATGGAAGCCTCGGAGGAACCGGGACGAATGGGGGCAACGCCGGTGGACCGGGGGCCGGCTGGCCAGCCACACGAAGAATACACTCCCACTCACTGGAACTGGACAATGGCCACCTGGGAAGACCATGTTCCTTCACAAATCAGGTGGTGAACTCCAACTTATCATTGTTGGTGAGTCAGAGGGTACAGTACCACCTTCTGGGGCGAACAGCTGCTTCGGGAGGTGAACGGGTTTGACCAAGGCCAAACGTGGCGCCGCCAGCACCTTGGAGAGGGCCACAGGCGAGCAATGTGAGGGCCTTGGGAGTTGGGACATTTGCAAAAAAAGGGGAATGCGGGCTGCGGGATGCCTCTCTTGTAAGGCTAGTTGGCTAGTTGTTTCTTTCTTGTTCCAGAGCCCTGTTGTGTCCTCGGCAACTCTGAATTGGATTCCTTGCTAGGGAATGTTTCCAAACAAAGCCCCCTATCCAGCCACAAATCCCTATACACAGCCCCTACCATCCCTTACATGGTGTTGTGCCTTGAGTGGCCTAAAAAACCCAACAACCGCCTAGCTGACTCTCTTAGAACCCACCACGGGTTGCCCCCATACAAGAACAAGCCACTCACCATCAGACCTCCCCAGACGCTCATGGACCCTCCTACGGGGGCCGGACCCTCGAAGGGGTCCAGACCCTCAAATTCTTAGGGTTTTGAGGGACCAGTCGGGCTGTGAACGGAGCGTTTGGGTCACTCATCATCAGAGCACCGACTTCCAGGCCCCCGCCCCGAGCCTTTCGAGCGCCACATCGGCCGCACCGGGCCCGGGCGCGAGCGACGCGCAGGCGCGATGCGGGCGGGCGGCGGGTGGCGCGCGAATGGTCATCCATCTGCTCAGGGCACTCCATGTGGACAATCGGTTGTTTTTTTTAACGCTGGATGTGGGTGTGTGACGATTCGCACCTATCTCCAGCAAACTAGATATTTGAGCTTTTTTCAGGTTATAACACACTGCTCCATGGGGTTGGACGCTAAATATGCTGGAAGGTCCGACGCTCAGGCTTCACAATGTATTCACCTGAAGCCCTAGCCATGGAACCCTGCCAGGGAACCCTCGAACTTGCGGTTGACGAGTCCTTGGCCTATGGACTCTGAAAACCAAGAGGGGGGATCCATATAAGGCCTCCCCCTTTTGGAGCCACAAGGGTCGGGAGCAACCCAAACAGACATCCGACAGAGTTTTGCATAGGGCAGCCAGCACTTGTCTAACTGCTTGTTGGGGATGGATCCATAGATCCATAGCCCTGGACCACTGGAGATCAGAATCAGATCTTTGTAGCCCTTCTTGGCTCACACAGATGGAGCTGCCTCCCGATGCGGCGAACCCGCGCATTCCGTTTCGCCACACACAAGCCGTCCCGCCCGAAGCGCTGGGTGGAGCAGCTTGGGGGAAATCTGACGGAAGGACATGCGGGAACTTTGGCGCGTGAAGTGACTTGGCTACCTCTTGGTTGCAGGATTTGGTGATTTTCGACTTGACACGGCATAAACCATAAACCATCATAAATCCAGAACAATATTGAGGTTTGTTGATCAACCTCAAACGGCAACATTCCCCTTTTGGACAACACGCCCCTGTTGGACATATGCCAGGAGTGTCGAGGAGTTTTTTTCTGTTCATTTGTATCTCTTATATCTAGGGGGTGTATGTTGTTTGTTTGAAAAGATGCCATGTTTTTGATAAACTATATGAGCCAGTCAAGCATCCAGATTTCGCAAGTGAAGATAGATACTTCAGCATCAAGTGCTGACACAAGATCACCTTCCCGCAGAATACACCTGGTGCGTGCTAGATTGGAACATCACGAATCACAATTTGTTCTTTTCAAGTCAGTGGTCATACTGTCGATGTGCAGCATTGCACAAGAACAATATATTCTTAACAGCTTCTCCTTCAATACGAAGAACACATAGTTAAACTCGGGCATGAGCAGTGCCACACGACATCCCTGCGGGACGATTGATCTTTGAGACCCATCAATTTGAGAGAGCCTCGAAGAATAGGTTAGTCCAAAAAGAGCCCCTTGGCGTTCCATAGTTTTGCAGGTACAGTGTGCCCCACATATGGAACCTGGTTGCTGAACCAGAGCCAACTCCTGCCAAGGCTCAGTAGCATCCGATTTTTTCCCAGATACACTGCCTGAAACAATCATGGAAGTGGATGGCATGGCCCGTTCGATTACCATTTTCTGAATACCGAAACAGGGTGTGAACTCCACTTCCCTTATTCCTCGCAGTGTAGTTTCAGACTTGAAAGCGGCTCATGTGCTTTGTGCGTCTTTCACGGCCACACCTGCCCTAATGAAAGGCGAAGGAGCGCTCACGAGAAGAGTTCAACGAGCTTCTGCGCACTTTGGCACGGCACGAGGGCGACGACCTGGTCTTTGCTGCCCTTGAGGAGCTGAGGCCAAGTGGACCGCCGACCGTGTTCTTGGATTAAAACATGTTATGGTCCAAAGACCGTGGGGAAACCGTATTCCTTCCAAAGATGCACTCGACACTGTTTCAATAATTATGTTTGGGGAACCATGATTTGCGTGATGTTTGGTGCTTTCAGATTCAAGATTTGAGTGCCCTGTTGCCAGCAAGTTCAATTTAAGTTGCCAGGAACAGTTGGGCAAGGTAGATATCATATTCAATCTCCAGTCCCCGATCTTCATGTTTGCTTGTGGCTATGAACATGTCCAAAAACTAATGAACCGTGTGTGATTTGGTTGTAGTTGTCGTTGCCCTATTCTTTCTATAAGGCATGCTCACAACAACAATGTTGATTCATGTCAATTCCTTTGCCATATATGGTCGGTGGAATCTCAGCAAAAGCGCGCCAGGCGACATGGGCACGACCTGAACACCACCGACTACACTGTTGCGATCTCAAGTTGTGGAAAATCCAAAGCCTGGCAGCAAGCCCTACGAGTGTTCGATGCCATGAAAGTCGCAAAACTTGAGCCAGATGCCATCAGCTACACTGCTGCCATTAGTGCCTGCGAAAAAAGTGCGCAATGGCAGCAGGCATTGAGATTTTTGGAGGCCATGCCGGAGGCGAGGCTTCAGCGAGATGTCTTCAGCTATAGTGCAGCTATCAGTGCCTGCGAGAATGGAGGGGAATGGCAAGAAGCTTTGAGGTTGTTTGAGCACATGCCACGTGCCCAAATCCAGCCAAACATCATCGGTTATACTGCAACGATCCGAGCTTGGACTCGAGGAAATCACTGGTCACAAGCCTTGAAGCTATTTCAGGCCATGCCCTCGGCAAAACTGAAGCAAGACGTCATCAGCTATAGTGCAGCCATCACTGCGAGTGAAAAGGGTTCTCAATGGCAGCAAGCACTGAAGTTGTTTCAGGCCATGGCAAACACAAAAGTTCAGGCAAATGTTGTCAGTTACACCGTGACGATCAGCGCCTGTGATAGAGGAGGGCAGTGGCAACAGGCATTAAAGATGTTTTGGGCAATGCCGCAGGCAAAGATTTTGCCAAACGTTGTTAGCTGCAACGCGACCATAAGTGCCTGCGAGAAGGGCTGGCAATGGCAGTTAGCATTACGCCTTTTTGAGGCGATTCCGAGGGTAAAACTTCAGCAAGATGTCGTGGGCTACACTGCAGTCATCAGAGCCTGTGAAAAGGGCAGCCGCTGGCAACAAGCGTTGAAGTTGTTTCAGGCGATGACAAAAGAAAAACTTGAGCAAGATGTCATCAGCTACGGCGCGGCCATCTCCGCCTGTGAAAAAAGCTTCGAATGGCGTCAGGCATTGAGTTTCTTTGAGGCTATGCCCCGTGCAAGTGTTCAGCCAAATGTTATAACTTACACCGCGACAATCAGTGCCTGTGAGAGGGGTAGTCTATGGAAGCAAGCATTGAAGTTGTTTGAGAGAATGCCAAATGCCAA